CCAGATCGGCTCTCTGCTAAGACCAGAACCCTGATAAGGCCTCCAGGAGACACCCCCCACCTCCACTGCTTCTTCTCTTGCTGTCTAGACTTGGGGTGCAAAAGCCCTGGACAACAAAAGCCCTGGACTCCCTCTGGGCTGTGACTCTTTCCGGAGGGTGACCCTGGGCATTTCACGGCCAGGCTTAGCCCCAGGTCGATCACACTGCTCTGGGGGTGCTCTGGTCATGCCTAGAGGTGGAGATCCTTGGGCTAAAATGCAAATACGAAGGTTTGAGAGGTTGTTAGGTTTTATTTTCTTTGTTTTTCTGGCAGCAGTTCTGTGATCTATACCTCTAAACACACCTTATTCTGAACATTATGTTTTGCACGTACCCTATGCCGATTCCTGAACATGGAGTTGGTTGTGTGGCGCTTGTGATTTGGGTAAATCAAGCTGGTTCCAGTTTACACTCCCACTGGCAGTGCCCCAAAGCGCCTCTTGAACCACGGTTCACTGGCCGACTCGATAGGACCCTCAAGAACCTAAGAGCTGGGAAATGATAGGTCTATATACACTTCACTGTCCATTCTTTGATTTCATGTGAAGTCCAATGTCACTTCACAGACTTAAGGGCCTTTTTCCTTTTCTGTAAACTCCGGTGTTGTTTCTACTTGCCCTTTTTTTTTTTTAATTTATTATTTTTTAAAGATTTATTTATTTATTCATATGGAACCGAGGTACAGGTTAGAGATGTGGAGGGTGAGAGGATTCACCAGAGACAGAGCAGGGAGCAGAACAGGCAGATGGACGAAGTACACTGCTGAGGGGAGCAGCGAGCGGGTCAGGAGAGGTCTGCTGCACCATGGGGTCACCTCCGGGGCAGGCGGGAATCGAACTCATGCGGAAGTGGCTTTAGCTTCTCAGTGCTGTGCTTTAACCCGCTGCGCCACCAGGGAGGGCCATCTACTTGCCCAATTTTACTCCTTTTCCGGTCATTATCTTTCTTACTGATGTGTAGTAATTTTTGATCTGTTTGAAATGTATGTCTTTGTCTACAGCAGAATTAATGGATGTTTTCCCATTGGGCACCTGTCTTTTTCCCCGTATTGGTGCTGTTCTTTGCCAATAGAAAAATTCTAATTCGTATCTGATCCATTTCATTTACTTTTTGCTTTATGATTTCTGAGTTTTCTGTGATGCGTAGCTAGGTATGCCCTCTTTAAGATTTTATTTCCAATTTTTCCTCTTCTTTTCTTCTAGCACTTAAATTTTTTAAACTGCTGCTGTTAAATATAAACAGAAAAACAAAGTAAAATGTACACTTAATGGGTTATTATAAACTGAATATTTAATAGGTTTGTAGTACTTTCATGGCTTCATTTTTAAATGAAAAGTTTGCTATAATTTGCGAGAAAGAAATCCATCTTTAATCAAAAAGAATATCTTTAAAATGTTGGTGGAATATGTAAAGATTTTTTATGTACCAGGAAAAAAAGGAAAACCTCTACATATCCCCCAAAGCAGGAATTGTATATATCCCCCAACGCGGAAACAAACAAAAAAAAGATAATAACAAAGTTTTCCAAAATAACTTAACCCTCTGTTAAAAGATTCAGTTCAGGCCCTCCCTGGTGGCGCAGGGGGTTAAAGCACAGCAGTAAGATGCTAAAGCCACTTCAGCATGAGTTCGATCCCTGACCCAGAGGTGACCCACATGGCGCGGCAGACCTCTCCTGACCCGCCCGCTGCTCCCCTCAGCAGTGTACTAAGGCGATCTGCCTGTTCTGCTCCCCACTCTGTCTCTGGTGAGTTCTTTCAACCCCCACACCTCAGGCCTACACCCCAGTTCTTCTATGCAATTAAAAAAAGAAAATGAAAGAAGATTGCCAGTCCCAACTTTCTTAGTTCTTCTGTGAAAGGAAGTTGGCATCTGCTCTGAGGATTATTTCACTTTCCTTGACTAGTTGACCATCAAGATCATTTGGACTTTTAAAAAAGATTTATTTATTTATGCATACAGAAATGGGGTGCAGGCCAGAGGTGCGGAGGGTGAGAGGATTCACCAGAGACAGAGTAGGAAGCAGAACAGGCAGATCTACTGAAATCCACTGCTGAGGGGAGAAGCGGGGAGACAGGAGAGGTCTGCTGTGCCCTGCGGGTCACTCCCTGGCTGGGGATCGAACACGTGCTTAGGCTGCTGCGGACGGCTTCACAGTGCTGCCGTCTAGCCAGTTGCACCACCAGGGAAGGCCCACGATCAGTTTGATTTGAAGGGCATTGATGCCCCTGGAGGTGAATATCCAGATCAAGGAGGTGGGTGTCCTCCAGGCCAGGTGTGGCAGGAGGTGACAGCAGGGGTGGTGGGGCAGAGTCCAGAGCCGGAGGGAGCAGTGCTGGGGAGGAGCCCGGTCTACGCGCCAGGCGAGGGGACTGTGCCCAGGGGAAAGTTCTCTGGAAGCAAGGGTGCCCTCTTTATAGCCTTTCTCTTGGAATTGAATAATGGGGACAACACCCTGTCTACTCTCTCCATAGGGGTTCGCTATGGAAGCAACATGCAAATCCAGCTCCAAACACAGACGGTGGCCCAGGCACCCGTGACACCCTCTCGGCCTCATGCCTCGGACATCTATGATGAAACAGGAAACCAGGTAGGTGATCGTTGTTCCCCATCAACTCTCCACTTCCCTCCTACCGCCAACTGCCAACACTGCTCCCCAGCAGACTGACCTGCCTGGGCTGCCCTAATAGCGCATGCTGGCTCTGAGCCACACATTCAAGAAGGACCTTGACACAGCATCTACCCATTTTATGGATGTTATGATCAAGGCCCAGACAGGCAAGAGAGTTGCTCAAGATCAAAGTGTGAGTGTATTAGCTAGGATGGGCTTGTTAATGCTGCAGTAACAAGCAGCCTTCAGTCCCAATGGCTTATGACAGAGCACTTCCTGCTTGGCCAGTGGAAACCCACTGGGACCTCTATTTCACATCAGCGCCTTTCCCAGACCCAGGCTGCTCTGCTGTTCCCTGTGGGGAAGAAAAAGAGAGAGCATGGAGAATCCATTATTGCCTGTTAAAACTTGTGCACAGATATGACATGGGTGTGTTTCATTGGCCAAAGCAACTGTGGCGACCAGACCCAATTTATATATATATATAATAGTTTATTTTTACATCATTTTGTACATTTTTTTTCATCTCAGTTGTAACCCCCGTGGGTTTCCCATCACCGAGCCACCTGTGTGCCATCACCATAGTCCAGTACGCACCCCCCCTTCCACCCATTTTTGATCCCACTCCCCACTCCACCCCCACAAAATGCCTCTGCTCTATGGCTGTTCATTATTCTTATTATTTTCTTGCCGACCAGGCCTAATTTTAAGGGCAGGAAGCACAACCCTCCTGAAGGTCTGGAAAGAAGAGAGGGGGAAAGTATCCGGCCAGCCCTATGCCTATGTGATGTGCCTTTGCTCCCAGGATGTGTCCTCAGTGAGCTTGATGTTCACACCACACACTCATACCAGAAACAAAGGCCTGTGTTAGACTAGTGGGAGGAGAAATTCGAGGGTGAAGAATTTCTCAGCAACCACACCACCCAGACCTTTTTCACTGACTGGCCTCCCCTGCCCTGGGTGATTTCTTCATGGGCAGCATGAACTTTGGATAACCCTAGTCAAGGACATGTCTGCTTGCCAAGTCTACAGAAACTCCAGGGCTGGTCTGGTGCTTGCACCACTGACTTTAAAGTATAAGTAATCTTGAAATGCACAGTTTTGTACTTTAAATTTTAAATCCTCCATGATTATTTCCTATCTCAAGTGCTAGCAGCAGAGTTGTTGAATCAAAGGACCGAATGCTTTTCAAGTTTTTGCAGTGAAGTTCTCCTTGCTTTAGATTAGTACTACTATCACCAGGTTTTCTGAGAACTCCAGATTAGAAAGTGAGACTTTGGTTAGAAAGAGAGGCGGTAGTTTCTGTTAACTAGGATTAGATTTCACCAAGAACAAAGGAAAGCCCTAAACAACAGTGAGTTTAACCTAACAGAAATAGATTTCCTTTTCTTGTAGTGGAAGCACAAAGTCAGTGTCCAGGGCAGGTGGATAGCTCTAACCCCCACCATCCTCAGCACTGGCTTCTACCTCATGATCCAATATGGCTGCCCAAGTTCCAGTCATCACATCAACATCCCAACTGAAGAGAAGAAGCCAACTTCTTGCTCACATCCACCGGCCAAATTTAATTCCCTGGCCGCATGTAACTACAAGCAGGGCAAAAGAATATGTTTGGTTCCAGATGGTCCAAGAATATTCAGGGGTTCTAAGTATTCAGGAAGAAGACAAGAACAGATTCGAGGCCAGTTAGTTGTCTCTGCATGTGCTTAGCTTAGAGAGAGGGGCACAGATGGGCCCATGGAAACAAGAACGAGTAAACCATTCTCAGGGGGCCATCTATAAGGGATGACCTAGATCATTCCAGAGCCAGGATCCAGACACACTTGGATTGAGGGCAGGGCAATGTATGTGTTCAATGTAGGTGTGACAGGGATACAGAAGAAGGATCTCTAGGATGATGCCTGGCCAGAGGCATTGAGAACCCATGGGAAAGGCCTGTCTGCCTAATCTCTGCCCCTCAGATATGGGGGTCCTTTGGCTTCTCCCTAACTTTCTTGTCCCCGTTCACCAGCCTGCTAACTCACCTGCCCCCTTTAGCAGTCTCAGCTGCCCCCAACTCACCTAGCTCCCAGCTCACCTGCCCTCTCACCTGCCCACTCACCAACCCCGCCGTGGCTCACCGGCCCGCTCACCTGCCCTCTCACCTGCCCCCGGCTCACCTGCCCCCAACTCACCTCTAAGCTCATCTGCCCCCCCTGGCTCATTTTCTCACTGTGCCCGCAGGGCCAGCTCCTCATGGACTCCATTAGCCACCAGCTGAGCAGGCACAGCCTGTGGAGGGGCTTCATGAGTCTGCTCAGCACGAACCTAGAATGGCTGGATGCCAAGGTGAAGTTCTTCCTCCCCAACATGGACCTGGGCTCCAGCAGCGAGGCCACAGACCCCACAGAGAGGGTGACCCTGCAACTCAAGAAACTCTACAGCCGAGGTCAGGCCACCTGGGAGGGGTTCATCAACTGTGTGTGCATGGAGCTGAGCGTGCCCCTGGACATGGAGGTGTGGCTGCTGAGCACGTGGGGCCACGGGGAAGGTAGGCGTGCGCACAGGAGGGCGAGTACCCCACTGGCTCCCACGTCGCGGGGACCCCAGGGAGGCACGGGGAAGACTCACTGCGTCACACACAGAGGGCATGACCAAGCCTGGAACAAAACTCCTTGTTTCTGGATATCTCCAGAGCAGTCTTTAATGCCACCATGTCACCCAGGGGCCTGAGGAAGCTCTCTCCCCCCCTGCCCACCCAGGAAGGCAGAAGACCAGGAGAAAGGGCCAGGTGCTTCCTTCTGGCCAGGGACTTTCAGAAAGCCCACCATGCCCAAGAGGTTGCCAGACAGCGAGACCCCCCTGACCGCTGGGGTGGGGGCCTCTGCCGACTGTGCAAGGTCATTTCTTGGGCACTTCGGGGAAACATAATAGGTGAGAAAGCTGAAACCCACTCTAGAACTCCCCCATGAGGGAGGAAACGGGGGTCAGTGTGCACATACTTGCTTGTCACACACGTGTGTGCCTAACACACACATGTGGCAGACCTGCACACAGGGTACATAGACACGAACAGACTTGCACACACCTCGCTGTGCACGCAGGAGCTGGCGGGCCCACACACTCTTCTGGCCTGACTGTCTTCAAGGTCCACCACCAGGTGGGCGCCCCACAGAGAGCAGAGTGGGAACTTGGGGACTCCCTGAGGGGTGAGCTGAGCCAGATCCCAGCCAAGCTGGCCCCAAGGCATGCGCCCCATCCCTGCAGCTCTTCTGTGCTCTCTTCTCTTTCAGGGTTTCCCAGGCAGCTGGAAGCTGGCGAAGAAAGTCAAGCTGAAGCTAAGTTTGACCAAGGTGAGTCCTGGGGGCGGGAGCAAGAGAGTCCCACTCAAGCGGAGGGCGGCGGTGCCTGGCTTCAACACTTCTCATAAACCAGCCTCCGCCTCTCCCCTCAGCCCTCTGCAGGGGTCCCCAACCTCAGGGTGCCCAGCCCCACTTCTGCCCCCTCAAGTCTCTCAAGGCTTTGGTCTGTTCTGCTCCCTGCGCCCCCCCCCCCAGGCCATAAGCCAGAGCACCCTGGGAAAGCCCTCTAGGGGAAGCCCGTTCTCACTTCCTGCCCCAAGCTGAGGGCCTGCTGGAGCCCAGCTCCCTGTCACCTGGGGCTGCACACACCCAGACTGTGCTTCACACCCAGGGAGCCTCTGGCTGATTTTCTGAGAGGTCAACAGTCAAACAGTGACCCCAGACTCGCGGGCTGGGGTATTTTCCGATCCTTTCTTTCTTCCTTTTTTTCATATTGTGTTACATATGCATAGCATAAAATTTGCCATCTTAAACAATGTTTCAGGCTGTAATTGAGCCAAGATGGCTTTGCTGGTTATTGTGCAACACACACCACCACCAAAACGTTTCATCTTGGAGAACTGAAAGTAGGTTCGTTACACCCACGCTCCTGCTCCCCCTAGCCTCTGATAACCCAAGTTCTGCTTGATGATGGTGACTACTGATACGTGCAATCAGCTTGTGGCTTATTTCACTTAATCTAGTGTCTTCAGGTTCATCTATTTTCTTTTCTTTTTTTTTTCTTTCTGTATATTTTACATCATTGTTTATTTTTGTACAGTTTGCTTTCTCCTCTCAGGTATAAATCCCCACCACCACCAAGTCACCCATGAACCATCACCATAATCTCTGTGCTCTTCCCCCTCTGTTGCAATCCCTCTCCCTCTCCCTTCCCTGCTGAATACCTCTGATTTGTAGTTGCCTGCTAGTTTCATTTAACCCCCACCCCCGATCCCTTCTTTGGCTCCCCTGTATTCCTCCTAAAAATGAGACCATCTGATATTTTTCTTTTTCCTTCTGACTTATTCCACTCAGCATGATCCCTTCCAATTCCATCCATGTTGCTGCAACTGGCATGAGTTTGTCCTTTTGCTGGCTGAGTAGTATTCCATGATGTATACAGACCACATCTTCTTGATCCAGTCCTCTGTTTGGGGGCATTTAGGTTGTTTCCTATCTTAATTGCAAATAGTGCTGCAATAAACATAGAGGTACAGGTTTCCTTTTTAATGAAGTTTTTGTGACTTTTAGGTAGATTCCTAGGAGTGAAATTGCTGGGTGTTATGATAGCTCCATTTTAGTAATGTGAGGTTTATAGACTATTGTTGCATTGACTTTATTTATTTATTTTTAATTTTTAAAAAGATTTATTTATTTATGCTTGCAGGGGACAGGCCAGTGGTGGGGAGGGTGAGAGGACTCACCAAAGACAGAGTGGGAAGCAGAACAGGCAGATACAGTGAAACACACTGCTGAGGGGAGCAGCAGGTGGGTCAGGAGAGGTCTGCACCATGTGGTCACTCCCTGGCCGGGGATCAAACTCATGCTGCAGGGGCCTCGGAGAGCCTCACAATGCAGTGCTCCAACCCGTTGCGCCACCAGGGAGAGCCCTATTTATTTTTAATATTTTAAATCTGTTCATCCTTCATTCTTGTACAGTGTATGGTTTCCCCATGAAATTCCCCCCACCAGTTCACCCTGCACCATCCCCGTAGTCTCTGGGGCTCTCCTCACCCCTGTCTTCGTCCCTCTCCCTCCTCCTCCCCTACAGAGTGTCTCTGATTGGTTGCCTGATGATGTTGAGTTTTACTTTATTAGACTTACTTTTATTTATTTATCCCTTTTTGTTTTCTCTACATTCCTCTTGTAAGTGAGACCATTTGATAGTTTTCTTTTTCTTTCTGGAATTGCTTTCCTTTTAAAGCTGACCATATTCCACTATTTGCATACGTTACTCATGTAACGTATGCTATATTTACTTACCCATTCACTAACGGACACTTGGTATGTTTCCATGATCTAGCTATTGTGAAAAATGCTGCCACCATGCAAATGGGGAAACAAGTATCTCCTCAAGACCCAGCTTTCTGTTCTTTCGGATATATTCCCAGAAGTACAATTGCTAGGTTAGGTGGTAACTATTTTTAATTTTTTGAGGCATCTCCATTCTGCTCCTCACAGCAGTTATATCATTTATATTCCCATGTGCAGTGAACAAGTGTTCCAGTTTCTCCACATCGTCATCAGCACTTGATGTTTTCTGTTTAGTTTTGTTTTCTTGTTGTTAGTAGTGAGTGCAAGGTGGTGTCTCATGCTAGTTTTAATTTGCATTTCCCTAGGGATTAGTTGCATCTTTCATGTGCTTATTATCCATTTGTGCCCCTTTTGGAAAAGAAGTCTTTTGCCCACATCAGAATTTTAAATCAGGTTGCTTTGTTGCTGTTTTTAATCTATAATATTTTTATCTGTAATATTGCTATATTGTAGTAGGTCAGAAATATGATTTATAAATATTTTCTCCCAACTTAGGGTACTTTTACCCAATGCATACAGTCTCTTGATGTACAAATTTTAAAATTTCATTCAAGTTCAACTTGTCTGCTTTTGTTACCTGTGCCTTTGGTATCCTATCCAAGAAATCATTACCAAATTCAATGTCACAAAGCCTTGCCCTATCTTTTCATCTAAGAGTTCTGCTATTATGACCTTACATTTAAGTCCTTTATCCATGTTGAGTTCATTTTTGTCTATAGAATTAGATAAGGGTTCAACCTCATTCTTTTGCATGTAGATATCCAGTTTTCCCAGAACTCTTGTTGAAAAGATTGTCCTTTTTCTACTGAATGGGCTTAGAACCCTTGTCAAAAGTCCTTTCACTGTATACGTAAGGGTTTATTTCTGGGATCTCTATTCTAATCCATTTGTCTATATGTCTGTCTTTATGCCAATACCACACTGTTTTGATTCTTGTACCTTTGTAGTAAGTTTTGAAATCAGGAAGTGTAGCCCTACAGTTTTGTTCTTTTTTCAGAATTGCTTTGGCTACTCAAGATCTCTTGAGATTCCTATGAATTTTAGGATGAATTTTTCTACTCTGCAAAAAAAAAAAATCACTGGTATTTTTATAGAGCTTACATTGAAGCTGTAGATCATTTTGTGTAATATTGACATTTTGACAGTCAATATTAAATCTTCCAGTCCATGGACATGGGTTTTATTTTCGTTTATTTATTTATTTTTTTTAATTTTATTTTCGGTAATGCTTTGCCATTTTCTTTGAAGTCTTTCATCTCCTTGGTTAAATTAATTTCTAAGGATTTTATTCTTATTGATGCCATTGTAAATGGAATTTTTTATAACTCCATTTTGAGGATCTTCAAGGTTTGTGTACAAAAATAAAACTGATTTCTTTGTGTGTTAGCTTTGTATCGTGCTGCTTTTCTGAATGTGTTAATTTGCTTGAACAGTTTTTAGTGGAATCTGGGATTTTCTAAGTAAAGGATAATACCATCTTCAAGCAAATCATTTAACGCCTTCCTTTCCAGTACTTCTTCCTTTATTTCTTTTGCTTGCCTAATTACTCTGGCTAGAACTTCCAGTACTATGTTGAATAGACATGGTGAAAAACCACAACTTTTCCCTGTTCCTGATTTAGAGGAAAAGCTTTGAGTCCTTCACCATTGAATAGGACATTTGCTGCGGGTTCAGAACCTTCATTTCTATAGAAGTATGAACTTTTTAACGTTTAGCTGTGCATATACAGTCTTGAGCAGAAAACATGCACTCCATAACCCTGTCTCCTTAACTAATAAAAGTTTTTTGTCCTGGTCCCTCTGACCCTTGTCACTGAGTTGACATAATTGTTACTTGACTCTGACCAGGCTTGGTTGATATTTAGCCAGTGAGACCCTTGTTCACAGAGGACTTGAACATTTTGGAATTATTCTCCAACTGATTCCAGCACCTCTTTGGTACTCCCGGGCCACCCTGTAATCTCAAAACTAAAAAGTTAACGCCCTGGCTGGGAGGTGGGGGTGGGGGTGGGAGGACTATTTTGATTAGTCACTCGCATCTGGCTGTGGGATCCTGCCCCACTTCTGGAAAATCTCATCAGTGCTCTCTCCCTTTCTGCTTTCCTGTACTCCTGTTCTCCCTTCTTCTCCCAGCTTCTTCCAAAATGGCACTAAGGTGTCTCTTACAAACCCATGCAATCAGACAGAACTCATGGAACCATTAAAGGAAGGGAGGAAGTGTGGAAGATGTGAAATTAGGGTGATAAAACACTCTGGCACACAGAGAGGGTACAGGTCTGGCCAAGTCTCTTGGAAGCTTTAGTTTCTCCAACCAGTGGTCGCCTCGGCAAGACTGGGTCCTTCCCAAGCCATTTAGTGCTTGGGGCTCAGTGTTTCTGAAGTTGCTGGCTGTGGGCCCTTCTCTTGCCTGCTGGGCCCCCTCTACCCTTTGGCCCAAGCCTGAGACAAGCTTCTGCAAACAGAAGCCTTTGCCCACTGACTGTCTTGGCTCAGCCCCTGAGTGTGGATGAATTTCTGTCTTCAACCTGTTTGTGAAATGGAGCTCTCCAGTGAAATTGGGGACACCCAGGCCCCCAAACCCTACCCCTTAACTCCTTCTTCATTCTTTCCAGGCCTCAAGCGACCTCATCCGAACTGTGGATCCTCACCCCGCCGCAAACAGTGCAAGAAGCAGCAACGAGGTGGGTACCAAGGTGGGAGGACCTGATGTAGGGAGGCTGAGGGGCTGGGACACAGGTGCTGGACTGTGTCCCCGGCTGAGAAGCTTCCAGGTACTGGTGACTCTTCTCTTCCAAACTTCCAGGAGAAGAGGGTTGGTGGGTCCAAGCCCGGACCATCATTGGGCAATTTAGAGTGAGCAGGATACATGGGAGAACACCTCAAGGCAGAAGCCCAAGGGTTCCATGGGGAGATATGGAGGTTGGGCACCAAAAATTGTTACAGGGTAGCCCAGTTCCTGTCTGTGGGGCCTCACCCGCGTGCTCACAATTTGGTTATACTGCAAGGACACACAAAAGGGTCAATAACGGGTTTATTTACAAAAGGGGAAAGGAATAGGAAACAACCCAGGGAAAGAGAGTGGGATACCAAGTAACTGGAATACCTTACTGGCTTGGCTGGGCTGACTGAAAACACCGAGTCATGCTGTCTGGAGAGCCCTTGCCCCAGTGAGAGATCGAGAGATGCAATGGCGCCCTATTTATCCCCCAAATGTCCCAGAATTCCTGCTAGCTCCACCCTTGGGTCCTCACCGTTCTCTCCCTGGTACTGCTGGGAGTTGTAGTTTCCGATCACTGGAGTAGTGTGTAGGATCCAGACAGCTGGAGTAGGGGGTGGAGTCCATAAGGCTCTGCAGAGTTCCTTTAGGACATCCTTCCCCTTAATAGATGCACCCTCAGGTAGAAGAAGACCCTGCTGGAAATTCCCTGTTGCCACTGATAATCCCAAGGGTCCAATATCTTTTTTTTTTTTTTTTTTTTAAAGATTTTATTTATTTATTCATACAGAACTGGGGTACAGGCCAGAGGCTCAGGGACGGTGAGAGGCTTCACCAGAGACAGAGTGGGGAGCAGAACAGGCAGATTGACGAAGTACACTGCTGAGGGGAGCAGCGGGCGGGTCAGGAGAGGTCTGGCTCGCCATGTGGTCTCCTCCGGGGCAGGCGGCAGGCGGGAATCGAACTCATGCGGAAGTGGCTTCAGATTCTCAGTGCTGGGCTTCAACCCGCTGCGCCACCAGGGAGGGCCGGGTCCAATATCTTAATAGTAATGATGTTAGAGGTGGTTGGGGGACCTTGTGTGTGGAGAAGAAGAATAGGGAATAGACCAGGAAAGCAGAAATGTCACTGAGTCTTGGTGAAGTGTGATTTGGTGGCTCCCACCTGGTGACAAGAGTACTTCCCAGGAGCTACAGTCAAAACGTTTTATGCAGGACAGATGGTGCCAGTGGAGTTTCATGTTCATTGGCATGGTGAGGATGACCAGGTATGGGCCTGTCCACCTGGGATGCAGAGGCTGGGGGTGCAGTTTGGTCTGGGGCGTAGGGCCATTCCCCGAACAGGCTCCGCATGCGTCCGTGGGCTCTGAGGCAGATGAGCCGGGCTGGATGGCCGTGCATGAGTCAAAAGTGAGGAAGGCAATTTCCTGTCTCCTTGTGTGCAATCTGGACTTTGTATCTTGGGAGAGGTCAGAGGTTTACAGAAGAAAGTAGGAGGGGTTTAGATAAAGACCTTAGAAACAAGCTACATAGACCAGGTAAACAGAGTTGGCGTTGTTCGGTTTAAGAAGGGGATTCTGGAGCGGCTGAGCTCAGGAAGGGAGTAGGGCAGAGAAGTGTGATGGCTGAGGAGGTTAGGGAGAGTGTGATAACAGGACCTGAGGGAGCTGGTGACAGATTGTTTTGATACATTGACCACTGGAAGGGTCAGAGGGGGCCGAGGGCCTGGGCCAGCAGATGAAGAGGTAGAAGGGATGTTGGAGTTGGGGGAAGCTAGAGAGTGATGGGAATGAGAGCTTTCTGAGGTGGAGAGTGGGTGGATGAGGGCTTTGGGGAGGCCAAGGGTTTGTGAAGGTCGACTGGGTAGCCTTGTACAGAGGTTTAGTTACGAGAGAGAAGTTGGACGTCGAGAGGAAGTCTTTGTATGTGAGAGGATATTGTTGAGCTGTAACCAGCGTGAGGGGTTGCAAAGTGTGACATTGACAGCGGTGGTGGGTGGCTCCCCAGGGATGACTGCTAGAAAGAGCTGATGAGGCGAGCAAGCCTGGTGGAGAGAAGGGTGAGAGTAAATCGTCAAGAATGCCTGCACGCGGGGAACCTCAAGCCGGCCGCCATTTCGGTTGATGAAATCAAGAGTGTCAAATCTAGGCCATCGGCTGTTATTCTCTAGTTTGTACATGGGCCAGAGCCTAATAAGCCATTGGATTTTATGTGGAGGAGGCATCCCAGAGGGGACCCGGTGGGGATGCGTGGGGTGGTGGGTGGGGTGTTGACCATTTGGTGAGGGGAAGCAGGTAGGGACCGAGGGTGGCATCTAAAGGGGACCTTCAAGGCTGAAGGGAGCCCAAAGCTGAGTCTTTGAGTAAGAGTTGTCCGTGGCAGTGTGCGAGGCAGGGGGTGATGGGGTGTGGGTGGGGGAGTGGAGATGGTATAAGACAGGGAGAGTGTCGGGGTGCGCCAGTGTTGAGTGGTTTGGATCCAGGGAAAAGCAGCCTCTATCCTGATTCAGACAAGACAGGTAGGTCTGCTCCTTGAGCCAGGCGTTCCTGGGACAAGGAAGGACAAAGTTGGGGTAGAGGGATTCTCACGCGGTGCCACGATTTTCATAGAGAAGAGAAGTAGAGAGTTGGGGAGCCCCGGGAGTTAAACTGATCAGTGCTGCCCTGGTCGAGGAGTGTAGAGTGGGAAAGCAAGGAGGGAGGGTATAATCGGGTGGGACTTAGCCCTGGGCGGGTGGTGGGTGTGTAGCCAGCAACGCAGATGCTCTGAGAGAGAGACTCTGTGGGGCCGTTGCAACTGGGGTTGGGGTGAGTCCCGCATGCGTGGACCGGAAGGTTTCAGCACCAAGATGTAAGGTGTTGCTGAAAGGACCCCACACAGCAGTCTCAGAGCAGAGAGGTTTAATGGGGCCAGTTGCCAGGCAGGACCCCAAGGGAGGAGAGACGGAGCCCAAGGGCGTGTTGGGAGAAAATTCATACCATAGGAGTAGGGGAGAGGGTCGTGGCTCAGAACAGCCGAGGAGGAATGCTCAGCCCACGAGGTCAAGGCCCAGGGGACCCCCCGATCTGCGCAAGCAGGGATGCGGGCGGGGTCCAGTGGTCGTGACACCTGCCTCTGGATGCCCTCAGCAGGCCACAAAGCCAGGGTGCCCTTCTGGCCCCCCTGCCCTGCTCGGACTGGCCTGACACTCAGGGGTCCCCCACCAATGGGCCAGTCCCCCTGGGCCACCCAGGTTCCCTCAATGATACACTGACAAGCCAGTCAGCTGTCACTGTGTGAACCCAGCTGCTGTAGCTGGGGCCTCCGGCCCTTAGCTCACCCCTGGAAAGTGCAGAACTGAAATATCAGGAAGGGGTGCGGGTTACTCTGCTGTCACTGTAAAAGGTGGTCCCGTAAGGGACTGTAAAGGAAGTACCTGTCTGAAAATGTCACCCACCCAGGCATCATTACAAAATAAACAGAATGAGTCACACTTCCCCATTCAGACTTCCTTGTTTCATAACGGCCAGATACTTCTGTAGTGCTGCTGTAGAACCAATTCCTTCTAGGAATGTAGTTGCAAGAGCTCCCTGCGGGCCCCTGCGTTCCCTTCCCAGCCCCATTCATACCCAGATGAGACAACAGCTAAGGCCAGGGTGAGGGGTTCTGGGGCTGGGACACCCGCACTCTCACGCCTCCTCCCTCCCTCCCCCTGCAGAGTCGGCCAGACAGTACCTGCAGCTGCTGAGAAACTCCACCTGTCAACGCTATGGCAGTGGGTTCCCTGCCCCCGGGCCCCCCACCGGCCCCCACCAACTCTACATCCCGCCCATCCTTCAATGGAACCGCTCCACCGGGCCCTTCGACACTCAGGAGGGGGCCGTCATGGGCCTCAAGGCCGAAGACGACCCCGACGCGTGTCTCCGCGACCTCTTCAACACCAGGGCCCACAGGGGCCCGAGGGTGCTGGTGCTGCTGGGGAAGACCGGCATGGGCAAGACCACGCTGGCCCACCGGCTCTGCCACAAGTGGGCCTGCGGCCAGCTGGACCGCTTCCAGGCGCTGTTTCTGTTTGAATTCCGCCACCTCAAGCGCATCAAACGTCTCCTGACATTGCCGCAGCTGCTCTTCGACCTGCACCCCAACCCCGAGGGAGACCCAGACGCTGTGCTGGGGTACCTGGCGGAGAATGCGGATGGGGTCCTGCTCATCTTTGACGGGCTGGACGAGGCCCTCCACCCGCGTTCCAGCAGGAAGAACGCGGGCTCCGAGGCCCCAGACTCGGCCCTCGCCCTCTTCTCTGACCTCTGCCACGGCAAGGTCCTGCCTGGCTGCTGGGTGATGGCCACCTCGCGCCCCGGGAAGCTGCCCGCCTGCCTGCCCACCGACGCGGCCATGCTGCACATGTGGGGCTTTGACCGGCCGCGGATGGCAGACTACATGGGCCGCTTCTTCAACCACCCGCCCCTGCGGGAGGTGGCCCTGGCAGAGCTGCAGGCCAACGCACGGCTCCGGAGTATATGCGCCATGCCTGCCCTCTGCCGAGTGGCCTGTCTCTGCCTGCACCAGTTGCTCCAGGGCCACTCCCCAGGCCAGGCTGTGGCCTTCCTGCCCACTGTGACTCAGAACTATCTGCAGATGGTGCTCACCCACAGCCCCCACGGCTCCCTGCCCGTGACGTCTGTGCTGAGCCTCAGCGAGGTGGCCTTCCGGGGCCTGGAGGCCGGGGAGGTCATCTTCTCGGCAGGAGACATCCCCCCACCCGTGATGGCCTTCGGAGCGGGCCATGGCTTGCTGACCTCCTTCTGCATCTACACAGGCCCCGGGCACCAGGAGACGGGCTATGCCTTCACGCACTTCAGCCTGCAGGAGTTTTTCGCAGCCCTGTACCTGATGACCAACCCCAGGGTGGACAAGGACAGCGTTGCCCGCCACATCACCCTCAATTCCCGTTGGGTGCTGCGGACTGATGCCAGGCTGGGCCTCTCAGACCTTCTCCCCACCTTCCTGGCAGGCCTGGCATCCCACGCCTGCCGTCCCTTCTTTGACCAGCTGGTAGAGTGGAACGAGGTGCTGGTTGCAAAGCAGGCAGCTGTTGTGCAGGCCTTGAGGAAGCTGGCCAGCCGCAAGCTCACAGGACCAAAGGTCGTAGAGTTGTGTCACTGTGTGGTTGAGACCCAGGAATCTGAGCTGGCTGGCCTCGTGGCCCAGAAACTGCCCTATCGGCTTCCCTTCCACAACTTCCCACTGACCTATGCTGACCTGGCTGCCATGACCAACATCCTGGGCCACAGGGATTCCCCCATCCACCTGGATTTTGAGGGCTGCCCCCTGGAACCCTGCTGTCCTGAGGCCCTGGCAGACTGCAGGCAGGTGGAGCATCTCAGGTGAGAGGGGAGGGGAGACGGGAGCACTAAGTGGGACCTGGGCTTTGGGGGAGAGTGGACCTAGTCACCTGGGAGACCTCTGCTGAGCTAGAGAGGGTGTGACTCTCCAAAGTGAGAACAGAAAGGCCCTTTCTGGCCCTTCCCTGTGTCGCCGGGAGGAAACCCTTGCCTCACTGGGACCTCGGGGGTCCAGTTGGGTCCCCCAGTCATTGTGGGCCTGGGGCTCTGTCCAGGCTGTGCTGTTGGACATTTGCAGTCTAAGCATGGGTGCTGGACACACACAGTGTGTTAAAACTCAGTGCTCGAAATACATCCATTCCACTCACTTTCCATTGGAGAGAAAGTAGTCCTGTGGCCACACTGAGCAGCAAAAGAGGCTGGCACATGCCATCCCTGGCTGAGAGAGTGCCAGCTTTTGCTGTATTTCCATAGATGGAGTGGAGAGTGGACTTTGGTGGACAGTTAGCAGTCGCTGCCATCATGGGTATTTACGACTACAGCAGTTACAACCACCCCCGCTAATATTATGATATTAAGCTCCGTCTGTTGGAGGAGGGAATAGATGACAAACTCTCAGCTCTGCCCAGCATTAATCCTCAGTCACTTTGCCTCTTTCTACGGCAGTATCAAGAGCAGGAAGTGTGGGGACGCCTTCGCAGAAGCCCTCTCCAAGAGTTTGCCAACGATGGGGAACCTGAAGAAGCTGGGGTGAGCCACGATTTGGAGTCAAGAGAGACTTCACCCTACACAGGGAAGCTTCTGGGCCGACCTCCTTCCCCAGCCCCGTTCCACCACACTACCTTCTCTTGCCCTGTAGGCTGGCCGGAACCAACATCACTGCCCGAGGGATCAGCCACCTGCTGCGGGCTTTGCAGCTCTGTCCACAGCTGGAAGAGGTCAGGTGAGTGATCCCCAGGTGGGCTCCCAGGCTGGGAGCTGTCACTGCCCAGGTCCTCGGGCTCCTCTGGGCCCTGAGCAGGGCCTGAATATTCCATCAAGTTCTGGACAGTTGTTTTTCAGTGACACCCAGAGAGGGGAGGCGTGAATTCAGGAGGCGGGAGGACAGCATCCAAATGCAAGTGCTACTTCACCTTGAAGGAACTTGCATTTGAGGCCCCCTTTCTGCTTTCTATGACCATGGAGAAGAAATGGTAGTGTAGACCACCGTGGATGCACGTAAATGTGTGGCCCACATAGACTTTCACATGCAGGCACCATGTGTCCACACTTGAGCTGCCTGTTCGTGGAAGTACATCCCACATGCATACCGGCACTTCCATCCACACGCATGTTTCAGTGCAAGTGCTACAGGCACAGACACACTCCTGCCCTGTGTCTGTGACTGGGCGGTCAGAGAAGGTGGGGCAGGCCCCTTCTGCCACAGCTCACGTGCACCACCGCTGCTAGCTATGTGGCACCTTTGGGAGACTTCAAAATGGCACGCCTCATCCAGGCGGGCGCAACTCGGCACTAGGAGCTGTGTTAGCTGGACCACAGCTCTGCGCTGTCCCCTCTGCCGGGTGTCTTTGCTCATGACCACTCCAAGTAATGAGAAAAGAGACTGCCGTCACTCTCAATAGGAAGAGCAAATGCTAATGAACTCACATCCCATTCCTTGACCTTGACCAGAGTGAGCACCTGCAAAGGGGCCCTCAACTCTAGTTCTTTTGTCCCTCCAGCTGGGAACCCGAAAGGGCTGGGCTGCGAGTCCCATTTACAGGTGGGAAACTTGAGGTCAGAAAGGGCTGTGCTTGGTGTTAGCTCCGAGTCAGAGGCACAGCCGAGGCTGGAAGCAGTGGCTCCTGCATCCTCATCAGGATTCTGCCAAGAGGCCCTAGGCTGGAGCCCCAGCCACATCCCCAGAAGAGCTCTGAGAGCAGCGTGCTCTCATCCCACATCACGAAGCCTTCAGAATCCACCCTCTGGATCTCTTGGGCTCCCAAGCAGGAACAATCCCATGGGGTCTGTGTATGGACAGAAATGAGGCCAGCAGAGAACCTATTTGCTTGCTGGGCTCCATGGAGCAGGTCACCAACTTGTCCTAGGCCCTATCGTGTGTCTCCCACCTGTGTCTGTCACCTGCCAACTTTGTCTTCACCTGCCAACTGGGGCTTCCAAGCACCCAGCCTGATGGCTGAGGGATGGTGTCTCGGTGTCCCCACAGCTTACAGGACAGCCAGCTCAAGTCACCTGCCAACTGGGGATTCCAAGCACCCAGCCTGATGGCTGAGGGATGGTGTCTCGGTCTCCCCACAGCTTACAGGACAGCCAGCTCAAGTCACCTGCCAACTGGGGATTCCAAGCACCCAGCCTGATGGCTGAGGGATGGTGTCTCGGTCTCCCCACAGCTTACAGGACAGCCAGCTCAAGGACCAGAAGGTGCTGGACATTGTGGAGATGCTACCTGGCCTGACGAAGCTCCAGAAGCTTGCGTAAGCGATCTTTCCACTGCCCTGTCTGACTCACCCTGTTCCCTCGGAGAATCAAAAAACCCCAGGTCCCACAGGGTAAGGCATGCCTCCTGACACCTCCACACAATCACACAGCTTGAGCCGCAACAACATTTCTACGACAACACTATTCTGCTTGACAAAGCTGGCAGTCACGTGCCCCACTGTCAGGATGCTGCAGGTCAGGTGAGCCGGTGTGGGAGCCTGGTCTCAGGGAGGGAAGAGGAGGGGGGCTGGGGTGAGGGCAAAGGAGGGAGGCTCGCGCCTGCTTGGCTGAGTTTGTTTTACGTACACCAGTGTCTCCAGAACCTAGCTCAGTCCTGGCACCTGGCACACAACAGATAATGAATTGATTAAAAGGTGGACAGGTGTTGAAAAAGATACCTGCACCCCCATGTTTATTGCTGCTTTATTTACAATTGGAAAAACATGGAAGCAGTCCAAATGCCCAAAAGTAGATGACTGGATTAAAAAGATGTAGTACATATATACAATGGAATATTACTCAGCAA